TGTCATGTCCTCACTCAGAGGAGACCATTGTAAAACTACTCTTGCTTGATATCGCCCCTGACTGAATGTATGAATGTATGCACGCAAAATACAAAATACTCGTCGTGTAATGACTCGAACAACTCTTGGATTTTAGGTCCTCTCCGATTCAACAACAATCAAGACTTGATTCGTGAATCTTGATCGTCCGCATGTTCTTGACGCAGATCTTCCTTTTCACCAAGAAGAACCACCAAGATGCGTTCACCAATTGTGCAATTTTTCATATACTCTGAGACTTTTCATCGGAAACTCGAGGCTTTTATGCACTTCTTGGCATTGTTGATGATGCTGCTCCAGTCAGTGGCATCGCAAATTGGTTGCGGCTCGAGATAATTAAGATTATAGCCCCTCGTTCCCATTATTGACTCTGGGTCGGATTTTTGCCAATTTGTTTTAAAATAGATGCAAAGTGTTTGAAAGGATGTTGGTTGGTTGGTTGGTTGGTTGGCTTAATGATATAAAGTAGTTTGTAAAGTATGTAAAATGGTGTAAAATAGCGTCTCATCATCTCGTGTGCTTTTGTGAATAGTCTTCTCTCGGAGCAATTGCTTTTTCCCCAACGAACGCAAATGATTTTTCCACCTTTCTTGCCTACATGCATGCATATACTTGGAGTTGATTGTGCATTATACTTTGTCCGCAGTGTTGCTCCTCATCAACAACTGATGAGCCTCCTCCGAAGGAAGACGCTCTGTGTGGAAGTGTGAATAAAGAAAATCAAGCACCTCTCCGTCGGACGCTATTCATCCGATAGTTGACTGTTGATGGTGGAGTGCTAAAATAAATGAGAATTTTTTTACCCTTCTAATTATTCACTTGGTTATTGTTGGGCTGATTGTGATCAAAGTCGAGTAAAAAATAAAATTATATTATTTTCAAAACTATGCAGAGTCAAAGTCACAAGGAGCGAGATGTGGAGGTGGTGGTGGTGGTAACAAATTATGCCCCAAGAAACTGCTACCCTTGCGAAAATAAAATCACAGAAAGCTGCGCTGGCATATAATTACAAGATTTTTTTTTTCAGTGCTTGGGATTCGAAACAGTTGCGCACGTCCCATTGTTGGATGTACACGTATGCGAGATTTATATTCAACTCTAGTTTTGAGATAAATCTGTCCAATTCATAAAATAGTACAATAACCATAACCATTACACAACACGTTGGACGGAGAGCAATAACAGTTTGAAATTCAATCATAAAGTTGTTTCTCCCACCACCATCGCCACACACAGAGGGAATTGGACTTTGTTCCTTTTTCGACATCTCTATTATTGTGTCGATCCATCCATTCTTGGTCCTGATCACAATTATGAGCAGCCTTTGCTGTAAATAACCTGCAACTTGCCTAAATATTAGTACGCAAAGGAGCGAGAATATCCAGAGCTAACATACACTAGCAACAAACAAGTATTGGTCATTAGTCCAGGGTAAGATTCAATCGCCTACAGCATGTTTGGAAACTGACCGAATTGGGCCAAAATTTTTAAAAACAAAATGGCGTCGTTGGCGACATTTCACTTTTAAGGGTGAGAATGACCCTCAAAACACCGCTTAAGTTGTTCAAAGGACGGTTCAAAACAACTTGGATCTACGTTACTGGGTTGTCCACACAGTCGCATTTTTGAAACCAAAAGTCATAGAAATTATTTAAGCTAGTTAAATTTCGAACTAAACGTAAAAAATTTGGTGCAATTCGGTCGGCATACGTACGTGCTGTAAGCGGTTGAATCATACCCAGGACCAATGACCAATACTTGTTTCCTTCGGCTGTACGTACGTATCGAGGTAACCAAACATTATTAGAGATGAAATTATAATGAGCCCATCAACTCGGACGGAATATTATTCCTCCGGGTGTAAATGTAAATGTAGGTGGAGGAGCCAAATGCAAGTAAAATATAAAAGAATGGGCCTGGCAGTATTACGTTTTAAGAAAGAAAGATATGAATGGTGCTAAATTCCCCATCATCCTCCAAACCTGGTTCAACCCCTGCCTACATACATACGCTCGAGACCATTCTTCCCTTCCATTCTTCCCTTCTCGACGGCTTCTGGAACATGTGTGGGGTGGCTTGAATTTTGGAGACTATGACCGACCACCATGAAACAAAATTGTAACATTTGCTAGCATCAGGATCATACCATGAGTAGAATATTTAGTGGTTCCATCAACAATTTTATGTGTAAAATTTCTCATCTAATATGTATTTGTTTCCGAAAGTTTTTGTTTTACAACCCTCCAAAAATTCCAATATTGTGAAAGTAAGCAGGTTTCAATTGAGAAATTACGTACGTGTACCTACATAAAAGTAAAATATGCAAGCGCTTATGTATGTATGTCTAACCACCTCCAACAATGGTTACATACTGAATTTTAAATTGTCATCAAAAGCCATGAAATAGCAGGGATCCTTTTATATCCTGAGAATAACTTTGCACCAAATTAGTACATGCTGGTTCAACCTCTCAATCCAACGCGATTTCATGAGCATTACAAATTTTGCATGTTATTTGATTCAGCTGTCAAACAATGCGCAATGAGTCGGCAATAATTTTACAATGTGCATAAAACAGAACGACATGAATGACACGCCACATTATAGATGAAAAGTTATCAAATTTTTACCTCGTGAACAATACAACTTCCAATTTAGAAGGAAACAATATAAATATTTACTTGATGCGAACAAAGCTGCAATTAGGGCTCCTGGAGCGACTTTAAATACTTTAAATAACTACTCAAGAATCTGCTGCAGTGCGTTTCTTTAGAAAATCTATTTGAATTTTCTCCCATCTCGTTTTTTTCATTTAAATTTAGTTTCACGCTTTTATTCTATTTTTAAACGTTTTCTAAACTGCCAAATTGTGTTGATGTATAAGAGCGTGAGTAGTGCATGAATGGCACAGAGTATATTTTTGAGTATGTAATGTAGGTGGGGTAAAACATGAGATCAAACCATGCAAAAAATTATTATGATTATTATTTAGCTCTATTTTTATTTATTCCTCAAGTGCAATTTAGGAAACCGTCTGGTCTACTAACTCCCATCAAGTCAGTTCAGGTTGTGATGATATTCCTGATTCTTGAAACCTCACCTAAAAGTAAAGACTGACTGACTGGACATGTTCATAACATAATAGATTAAACTCTAGAGAGAGAGATTTGCCCGTCTCCACCAAGTTATTAAAGTTGGTGGAAAGCGTTAATAAGGTCTGAATAACTGCATTCTACATAAAATGGTCATTACTCATGTTATGTGACATTGTTGACTGTTTTCCAACTTTTACACAGACTCGGTCACGACAGAAACATCTTATTCCATAACTAACCAACTATTACGAAGCCCCATCGCATAAAGTATTCTGTCACATTCTCATTTTTTCCGGTGAGCCTCAACCACGTTCAACTTTACCGTCCTCCTGACGACTTGTTGTCAATAGTCGTACCTTCATGCCTACGTGCAAATATTCTTTTAATGTGTACCTAGCAAAGACTGGGAGTGAGCAAAGATTTCTCACCTAAATATGAAAATTCTCACATGTTCTCATGTCCATGTTATAAACATTTATTCATCCACCGTCGTCCTTTGTATAAAATGAAGCCATGATGAAACAATGCCGCATTTCTGTTGAAATATCCACCTGTGTTGTTTACAGTTTTATGTGGACGAGTACACAAATGAATGCATATGCATATGCAGTGAACTTGTGAATTTTCATGTAGAAATGAGAAAAAACCTGTAGCAGCCAATATGTAGAATTTGCGATTTCTTATTACTAAAACAATCACTCGTAATCTCAACATGCATTCCAATTTATTATTATTATTATCATTATTATGATAATCATAAATTCAAAATCTTGGATTAAAACTATTCGCATCCAATCATTTTCCAAAGTTTGTTGAAAACCAGCAAGCAAGCAACAGAAAATTGGGAAGTAAATGAATGCTATCCGAGCTCGAAATGATTAGGGTGGTGTAAAACTGGTCTATTGTACAGTTGCTTTGCTTGCGGAATTTTCTCATGTGGGCAATAATGTGAAGGTAATACAATCAAGGATGGATTTAATTTGTTAAATTGCCCTCGCACAAGATTGGATTTGAGAAGGAATACGCCATTAACCAAAATTAAATGATGCGAATACGAGTATCTCATATCCTACGTGAACCACTGGTCGTCTGCGAAATACATAATTAGTTAGTCCACCCTTGAACCTTAACCATATGGGAACTACATAATTCCTTTTGTACTCTCCCTAATTGCGATGCAGGTCACAAACTGCTACATTTTTTGACATGATACTTTTTCTCATCAACGAGAGAAACAAAGGTTGCAAAGTGAGATGTCACCACGATAATGTGAATGAGAGCCGTTCATTTTCTAGCTTTGCTTTGGAGACAAACGCAGATACAGGAAGTTCAACAAAACCAACAGGTTGCTGTATGTACTATCTTTGCTACCCTATAGTCAGCCTCGCAGTCCATACGTGTAATTGAGGGTAAGCCCGTCGTAACTCTAAAAAATGACAGAAACATCAATAAATGTCGCCTAAATCTATTTCTCAAGTGTTGGTCAAAGGTCTCCTGAGCTGAGGCACGTTCATTTATTTTGACAAAAGAAAAGCCATATCCCGTTTAAGGTTGCTGATACGAGATCATTTGACATTTTTTCTCCGCATGGGCCACCGGAATGCGGTATGAAAAAGAAGAAGACGTTGTTGGGACTCGAGTGAGCTCGCAAAGTACCAAATATGTCGGAGGGTCTCCTTTCCTCCGATGAGGATGGAGACGGATGATGATGCATCCAATGTTATTGACAGGGTGGAAAGAAGGGACAATCTCTCCTCCGTAATGGATTAGACGACAGTAAATATTTTGATATCTACTGAAAGGTGGAAGATACAGGTCGTCTTTCTTAAGGCAAAGGTCGTATTGACACAAATCTATTTTTCTTACCTGGGATGTCATCATCATCTCCGTGTGGAAAGGGTCGCTCGATCCTTTCGTTCCAGGGTGAATTGATATTACGTATGCTTTTTTTTAGTTCAGCAGGCAACTAATTGTCTCACATTTATCCAAGTGGGCTTAAATTATGTACAGTACTGTGTGAGATAATATCATAATATCGCTTCTCTCTCGTATCTAAATGTTATTTGCTCAGTTTAAGGTTAAAAGCCAGTCATGTGAGTCACCACACTTGGATTATAAACACTTCTTGGTAGCGAATTCGATATTATATGGAACTTTGCATTGGCTTTGAATTTGAAGGGTCATAATTTTTCCTCAATTATTACACATCCACCAACTTTTTACACTACGTATGGCAACAGAACACTTGGTGTCAAACGAATTTTTCTCTTGATTGTAGAAGGATGAGTTCGATGACAGCTTAGCTCCAGTTGACTTGCTGGTGACGAGGACAAATTGGGCGTCCTGCTGCTCTCCTTTGATCCTTCCAGCCAATCATTTGACATTTAAGGTCACCACCAAGTTAACCAACCACCACCATTTGGCACTTTATGCATTTCACCTGTCATCACCTTGTTCACTAACAAACTCACAAAGGTTTCGGGTTTATGGGTGTGAGGTATGTAAATGTGTACTACTTTTTCACTTGATAGAAATATGGTCAAGGCCCAAGGAATGCACGACACCAAACTCACACGCGTTGGTTACACAAATTATTGTGTAATTTTGAATAAGCTACCACTAGAGCTTTGCTATGGACCGAGTCGAGTGAAATTGATTGGGGTATGCGACAGTTTTCTAGTTGTGACATCGCCACCCGTGGATTTCACTGCCTACACAGCTAACGTCCAACAGCGCTGAAATCGTAGAAAACTCCCCAATAAATAAAGCCCCCCTCTTCCTCGCCGCATCCATTCCAGTCGTTCATCTCAATTAAATTATTCATAGAATTTAAGTGTCATCGACTTTTCTTTCTCCTTGTGACTTTGATCACTGAAACTGAGTGATAAGAAGCAACTGGTCCCCTCTACATTTTTTCACTCGGGTTAACTTTGTTATCTGAAATAATAAAATTTGTTTAGGTTAAAAACACAATTTCATTAAATAAAACAGCAATACTGACAGCGGTGTGGTGCACGGTCGTAAATGTTTCAAAATGACGAACCGAACAATGTTGTCCATTATGCAAAATGTATCAAACCTCATGTGACGTGAAACTGTATGTTCAAGTAAAACCAAAAGGCGACCTAGTAAGTGATAAATTAAACCTAAAGATCGTAACATTAAAGATAAGAAAGCAGGTCTGTCCACCTTTTACAAAATGTAGGATGAAACGTTCATCCAGGGAATCGAGAGTCAATTAAGTCGAAATCAAATCGATATCAGCAGAAGATGGTGCTGCTGCTATTAAATATGTACTTTGTATAAAACGAGATTGTCTTCTCTTGTTAGCATTTTATTTTTGAACATTTTTATGCCGAGGAAGATAACGAGGAGCTCAAAAATATTAAGTCTATACGCCATATCATCTCGGCTAATGCAAACAATTCGCATGCATGTTTGTATAGTGCATGATGGGTGATTACGTACATCCACATATATAAATGCCTCTTCTTCTCTCAGTCCTACGAGTTTTGATTGGAATTTATTGTTTGATAGCAGAACAGGAACAAGAGCTGCAGAATAACGAGAGATCTAAAACAAAATAAAATCAGGCAAAACTCGTTCTCATTCGAATAAATATGATGTTATCAAATGTGACTGACGGTGGTACAAGTACATATTTAAAAGTAAGTAAAAGGCGGATAGATATAGATATGGCCCCACTTTGCAAAACTATCATTGCAATTCTCGATAACTAAACGGTGCGGTAAAGTTGTTGTGGGTACTAATATAATCATCAAGACGTCAGTTTGCAGGAATTTGCTTCACTTGGCATCTCAACCGCGTTAGACATGAAGGTCGGAAAAATTCTTTAATTTTTTTCAGATTCGAGGACCACCTCGAATATTAAATTCCGTACGTATGATTCAGGAATTTACACAAATATGAACAGATTTGCGTGACCAAACCCACGGCAAATAATTCGGTTTTCATTGACACATGATTTTTTTAATATGATGCACTTTATTAGGCCGTAATGTAAGCCGGTGGGAGAGACAGCAGGGGTATGAATGAGACACTTGTCTTCTATTGTTCAATCATTTTTCGCTCTCACCTTCCGAGACACGAGGACAACTTTTGACTGGGAGAGAACATCCATAAATCCACATTTCCATTCAAGAGAGTGTTGTGAAATTACAAGGTAATTCTCTGTACCACATCTCCACCACTCCTTTGATCTCACCGGAGGATTTGTGATTTGTGACTGGTTGCAGATTTAAACAAGATATCACCACACTTATTTCTTCTTGGTCTTTCGAGAGACACAGCAGCGCAGAACTTGGTTGGAAATGACGACATTTGTTGTAGTAAATAATCACCCAGTGTGGTTTTGTTACTCGGTTGTGGAGAGACTGTCCCTTCTTCTTGAGAGTAATTCTTCTTGACAAATTGTCGTGTTGTAAATTTGCAGTTGCAATTCTGTACATGTACTTTTCCGCCTCATTTAACTTGTTGCCACTTTTTATTAATCCAATCCTTGTTGTAAGTTGCACTTTGTAAACACACAAACTTTTCACAAATCAACACCTCCTACAACTTTTACACACTAATCCGCGAACCGTTGATAATGAAATGTGAGTGCATCGGGGCATTAAATCGGAGAGATTATTTTCTACTCGGAGCACACAAATAGTAGTCTTACAACAGTCTGTCAGAAGTGTGTTCAAATAGGATCCTACGTAGCTCGGATGGTCTGACTGACTGGAATTGGTTTGGTGGATGAAGTTTCAAAACAAATCTTGATTCTAATTCAGCTAAAAAAAACCAGCATCATCAACCCCTGCATTTCATTGCATTATCCGACCACTCAACCAACTATCTTAGTTCTGGGATGCCTCGTATTGCGAACATATAGTTTTTACGCTCTTCTTCACTCAACAGGTTGGTTTTCTAGCGTTAGTGTTGTAATCACATAAAGTAAGTGGTGGAGGTATTACTTATTGTGCGGCTGAGACATTGCACCATGATGAGGATGATACCTGAATAACGTACACTTGTGCTCATCCCTTTCTCATGCATGTACTTACTTGTTGTGGGATGAGAAAGGGTTGAAATGATAAGGGAGCTATGCAATGCAATGTCATTCATGATCCATCAGAAGTGCGTCAAAAGTGCACAAATAATATGGCGGATTCGTACATTTTACATTTCCATGGAACACAATGATCAACGGTAAGCTCGTGGTGTCGTTGTGGGGTCATGTTTAAATCCGAAAGTCTGTCTGGAGTGAGTGGTTGCATGATCCTTGGTGATGTAACAGGGAAGAATTAAAGAGAATACTAGCCACATTCGCGTACTACTCACTCATACACATGCACATACACACAAGTACATAAGAGTCAAGTCAGTTGCGTCTTATTATCCTGAGTAAATCCCTGTTGTGGTAAGTCTGAAGCTTCATCGTGGCTAAAAGCAAGTGACGATCCCTCGCAACCTCACCTGGTCAGGTACGAAGAAGAAGAACCGAGTTGAAGTCAGTTATGGAAGTGGGCTGAGAGAACGGATGCCGATTCCTTGAGAATAGATAATAATGGATACCTGGCTTCAGAAACGTATCTTATAACGCAGCCCAACTAGTCTTTTGCTGGACAACAAAGTGCATTACGATGAGAAGAACATGGGTGATAGTTTGTTGATACTTTGTTGTTGGAGTTCATGCACGTACCACACTGCGGACGGAGGTGTTATGAATGATGCTCGGTTTTCAGGTACGAAGAAGACGTGAAATTCTCAGTCGCGTATTGTTTCTCCTTAATCTCAACTTGTTTTATGATTCCGAGTCCATCTTCTCCTTTGACTGAGTGAGTTTTAAAGAAGTTTCAAATTCAAAGGGAGCACCAGTCTTCTTGCCAATGAAGGAAACCAAAGGTGTAATTATGCTTGTAGTCTATCGCTCGCTGTTCAACTCGGTCTTCTTGCCTGGTCCACATTCCAAAGCACACTCCTTTTCCACATTAACTTCAACTCATCGTCCGTCATATTACCTAAACTCTGTCAATTTTTGATCATTTGCACCCTAAACAAATAACGTTGGTGATCCATACTTTATTTTCCGCTGTTCAAAGAAATATAGGAACCAAGGGGCAAAAGTGTTTTGTACGTCTGGAAATTGTACGTAAGGCAAGAGGTACATGGATTGGGGTGCAATTAGACCGCATATTATATCGACTATATGTCGATTCTCTATTGTTTTTTATCTATTAACTTGCGAAGGTATATATGCTTTAAGAAGAGTAGTAGATGTACGACAATGTAATTTGTTTTTTTACTCATTATACCAAACCTATCCCCCGCACAATGTATCGCGAGATGATACAATACGTATGTACGTATGTATGTATCAGCTTCATTTATATACCTTGCATGATTTGGACTTTCTTCAAAGTACAAATTAACCCGCTTTAATTTAAATTTTTATTTTCTACTTTTGATTGCAGTTGATTGAGGAAAACTATCTTGTTTTTGAACTGGTAAACTCTGTCGTTTGTTGCCAGATCAAGCCAAAGAGAGGAATATCTACAGGCTCTACTGAAACAGAGTCCTCAAAATTATAAATTCATCATTCGTATGTAACCACGTGTTGCAATTTCGTAAATATTTCGATATTGACAAGTGAGCAAGACTGTTTAGCAATGGTTCAAAAGAGACACATACACACACACATCATGACAAGTTTAATACTACATGTCCAATCGTATTGGCGAACGTATGCAGATTTATTGAGTAATAAAGAGACGTAAATTTAGATAGCTGATAATGAACCAAAGAAGGAATGGAATGCTCTCATCTTTATACTCTTACTCGTACATAAATTCGTCTTATAAACCTAATGCCAGGTGTAAATGAGCCTCCAGCCGAGATTTTTCCATCCACCCCACAGATTCCATCCATGCGGATTCACTCACTCACTTACTCACTCACTATGTATCTACTATTATGTTACTGTATTCGTTAAATGGTATGCTGAAAGTCACGATGTCCTTTACAAATTTACAGGTAACGCAGTGTTTTCATTATCTTTGCTTTTTCCTCTCTGCTGAACGCTGTTGCCATGCTCATAATCGGTAATTCTTTTTTGTTCAAGGGGCTGTAATCATATTTAGTGCCTGGATTCAAAATGAAATGATGGATGATGCAAACGGAATAAAGGAAGAAGGGAGCCTCTCACTGTTTTATTGTAATTCATCATCCACAAAAATATTTCACGTATTGTGGAAATAGTTACAAGAAAGAAAGAACAGTTGCATTTCTTCTTCACGAAATGAGATTGTATTGAATATGTCAAGAGTGCAGGCATATGTATCGCATAGCCATGAAAATATACCAAATACCAACTTCTTCTCTATCCATATATACATATATTATTATTCAACAGCAATAAGTTATCCCGAGATTGATCCAACAAACCGTCCAACATTGAACTGGTTGGCTAACAAAAATGTTTGTATAATAGCATTGTAATATCACCAGATTACTTTAAGAACATCCCTGTTGAAGGATACAGAATGCCCTCACATTATTCTTCAAGAGGGAACAAGCAGTTTTGGCAAAGTACTAATTAACAGGAATTAATTCAGTGGAAAGAGATATGCGTTATTGCGTTGCAGATTTTTTCATGTAGGTTTTTTCTACAAGTTGGAAGTGAGGATTGGACCACAAGGGTCTATTATTTAAGTTCAAAGATTTAAATTTTTGAATTCGACATGCAAACTGACACAATTCTTGCACTTTATTTTTTTCAATTCAGACCTTGAAGGAATGTGGAAACAATAACACATTGTTTATGGATGGCAGTCAACTATTTCTTTTTTTCAAGTACTCGGTTACAGCATACGGACGGTTGAAAATTCATATAAAACAGTCGGATAATTTTTCTCCCTTTGACCAATACATCTCACCCTCTCGGGATCATGTTGAGCGAAACAATAATACAAAATTTCAATTTCCAATACATCAATATCAAACCTGTTCATTGGCATAAAGCATTATGAACAAGGCTGAATCTGGCAAGCCCAGTTTATTACATGGATGAACACTCTCAAATAATAAACATAATAAACCGTTACAAACGAATGTAACCAAGGGATGAAATCACACGCGTCAAAATGCTGTTGTTCGCAGTTGGAAATCTGTTCAGACTGAATTGTGTTTTGGAAATTTGTGACCTTTGACCTCTTACGGACGGTCACTGGGGTGTCGCAGGTCAAAATGATCTATTCAGTTGGACAGTTCTTTGAAAGTACTGTCGATTTGAGTCCTCACATGATCTCGTTGTTATTTTAAAAAAATCGTGACCTGTGACCTGGTACAGTGTTCTGATATGCATTGCCCATTTTCTAATCAGGTCTGACCCTTGATGTTAAGAACGTACGTTCAAAGTTTCGAATCTGTATGTCCATGTGTTCACGAATTATCGGACCAACATAAAGACAGACAGACGGACAAAACGATCCTACAAAGGGATTCCATCCCTTAATAATACACTGCACTTCACTTGAGATTTATTGTGTTCATGATTGACTCACTCAAATCAATCACGTCGTGGTCGCTCGAGAATAAAATTTTCTTTTACAAATTCTACTGGACCCAAGGTGATAGAAAAAGTTTTCTTTTATAATAAGTACACCCGAAAACGAAAAAAGTTGTTTGGAGCCTAAACAAGTACAAAGTTATGTCACGACTTTGAATCCATTTAATTTCAAAGAGAATGAAATTATCCACACATTCATGTCTGGCGAGTCGACCGGGGTTCATTTATACCAGCTCCCGAGAAGAGTGAGGTATTTAATGCAACATTTTATTATGAATTCAACACGAAGTAACAAATTACTGATTTTGGAAAGGTTAGGATTGTACTGTTGTAAAAAGTTTTAGCCATACAAAGATTGATACAGTTATTAATTAGCGTCATTACTGAACGGTATTACATAATGCCAAGTAATAAAAAAAATAAAAATTTTGTTAACTTCCTTTTTAGACCGCAGAACAATTGAGGGACGCCATTTTAAGTAAACTTGATAATAAGTTTTAAGATGCTGTGGTCCAAATTAATCAGTGGTACATACATAAATATGTACATGTCGATTTCGGTATTTCCGATAAAAATGATACTATACGAGGTTAAAAACCCCTAGAGTAATAAAGTCATATAATATTTTAATATGCAATAATTAAAATATATAATTGTTATCTAACTAAATTGCATAAAAATTAACCTAAAGGTAAACCAGATATTTTGAAAATATTTACAATAATTGGTCAATTACCACCGACACATATGTCATTTTCAAAGAAAAACGCTACATTCCTTGAGAGTAAGGTGTCCCTAGTTTACTCTGTTGTCTTCACTTTATAATTTCGCAAAAAGGTGTGGATTCGTGACTGAATAAAATTGGCAGATTTCCAGCCGCATATTTGAAAAAAATCACATTGTGTGGCATTTATTAATTTATTGACTACTATTCCTTATTGCATCACTTTCCTATGCCTTGTCTGTGAGCAAAATAAATATTTTGGTAATTAGCTACTAAATTGCTCCTGTTTCCAGTTAGTCAAGTTCTGCTTGATCTGTCTTTTGTATGTGTCCAAATGTTTTGCTACCCATTAAAATTTCAACCTTTCTCACAGATCAACTTTGCCTTATCTACTTCAACAGGACAAGGATCACAATACAAGTGAAAAACAACAACATATGCCTCTTTTGCATTATATTGCCACTCCTGGTGCATATAAAACCTCAGAAAGTTATCTGGACAGCATTGTGAAATTATTATTTGATTATCCGCAGTCAG